AGTAATTTGACATTTCTTATGACTACTTCATTACTTAACTTTGAAGCAATTTAAGGTATTTTTGAATGAATCTTGCCTATCAGTCATGCCAAGGAATTGTACCTATCAATCATAACATATGGGTTATCTACTCAATGTTTTGTTAGCTTATTTTGAGCTGTTATGGTCTTTATATTTTATTTCTTTTGAGTGAAAACGTTATTTATTTTTTTTTCTTTTAAAGAATACTGCTGAAAACTATCATAGCTTTCTGCAGAAATAATGTTTAACTTCTGTCATCCAGAAAGTGTAAATTGGAGGTATTTCCATTGGAAGTACTTCCATTGAAAGTAGGATCAGTTTGCTTTGCAGGATATACAAGAGACACTTCGTGTTGGGGGACTGATGATATTGGTAGAAAACAATGCAGAATTAGAAGATGGCTTATCATATAAACTTCAGCCAAAATCTATTTGGATTTTCATGCCTTTCTCTTTATTTCCTAAGTCATACTTTCCCTTATTTTTCTGTCCTTATTTACTCTATTCCCTAATTTGCTTACAAACCATGTCATTAAAAGCACAGATTTTTGACCATAAGGAATGGTTCATTTCAGATCCCTATTAAAGCTAAGAAGCATGAAGGCCAGAGAAGTAACTTTGCCAAGGTTTCGGTTAGTGGCAGAGCTGGAACTGGTATTATGTTCTTTAGATTTCCAATTTATGTGCTTTTTCCACGATATCAAGAAATATTTTAGAAATAAATAGATCAGACTTAGTATTTGCTTTTGAACTTATTCTTGCTTTCTTATTTTCTTCCTTTAACATTTAAAGGAAAAAAATTTTTTTTTCAGTACCACGCAGTGGCACTTAACCACTGAGTCATATCTCTAGTCCTTTTTTGTAGTTTATTTAGAAACAGGGTCTCACTAAATTACTGGGGGCCTCACTAAGTTGCTGATTGCTTTGAACTAGTAATCCTCCTGCCTCAGCCTCTCGAGCTGCTGGGATTACTGGCGAGTGCACTGTGCCCCACTTAAAGGAAAACTTAAAGGATA